AACAGCCTGCAGGGAAGACCAGCAGATCAGCAACTGCCACGGGGCAAAAACTGAACAGTTCTCTACGTTGCGCCGCTCCAGCGTAAGCTTAGCTGCTTTAGTTGCTGAAGCAGCTAAAGCCACGGGACATCTTGGGGCCATCCTGGCCCCTTGTCGCGTTTCTGAGATTCTTACTGGTACCTGTTTTTGAGCTGCTGGCGAGTTAACGATGTTTTGGGATGTCCCCTTGGCCAGCACCATCGCGTCATCTTACGAAGTCTGCGCCTCCATGCGCCGTACCCCCAACCCACTCCCGAAACACTCCGATCGGGCCCCCAGCCCTCCCCCCTGCTCCCACTCTTCATTTTCTCCAAGCAGCGCGCGTCTCACAGACAACGATGCTCTTGACGAAAAAAGATTCGCAGCCGGGCTTCGGCATTGCTCAGTGGATTCGTTTACCGCACATCTCCAGTGCTAGCAGCGCATGTTCTTTGCAGGTCGTGCTTCACGGTGCGCGGCTTCACGGAAAACAAAACATGGATCCACACACGGCCTCCAAAACTGCATTCCAAGCATGCGTACCATGCTGGGCTAACGAAATCGTGGTCAGAATGTCCAGTGATGCATGCTTTGCCTTGCGCGGCCGAGGGGGCTGACTAAGCTCGCCACCGGCCGTGGCTTCGACTTTTCCGGGACCCTTGGACTTTTCGCCTTTTTGTGACCTTTCGGATTTTTCGGCTTTTCAACGTTTCGTGCCAGATTGGCTTTACAAGAAACAACTTTTCGGCGTTTAATCTTTTCGGTCGATTTGCGCGCTCACTTCTCCACCTAGATCCGTCCACATCCCTTCGCAACCACAGCTGACTGGAGGTGCATGTACATGCGCAATCATGCGCACGGCCCAACCGTGCTGTCCACCTGCACTTGCACAAGCTGCAAGATTCAATTCGCCAGGCCTGCGTTCGTGGGGAGGCCTGTCGGAAGTGGTACCTTCAAAGTGTTGCTATTAGGCTATGCTTTAAGGCTTGTACCATGCTTCAAAAAACTCTTGGGGCAGCACGCTGCTCAGGAAACTTTTTGTGGGTTTCGCGTGCCTGCCAGGATGCAGCTGCGACTAAGCACCTGCTGCGGAGCACTGTCTCATCCCAACCTCGATGGGCATATAGCTGAAGTTGAAGGACACGTGTCGCGCCACGTGCCCCATATGAGGAAGGTTCTGCCACGGAAAAAGGAGCTACACCTCTCTCAGCAGGCCCATGCAAACTTTGCACCTGTGTGGCCACCTGGAAATGATGCATCTGTCCAACTGAGCGCTGGCTGAGCACCTGAACCGCCAAGCATTACTTCTTGCCATTGAGTGCAATCAAAGGCAAAGCAGCAAGGCCTTCGCGACTTTGTGGAATAAGCTTTGGCCAGCCATGTGGTTGCAGCCATGAACGTAATGTGATCCCACAATGAACTTGCCAACTTCCACATGCCTGGCTGCCAGCACACATCAATTTACAGCAACATCAGGGGCCAAGTTGCAATTATGCAGGGCGATCCGCAAGTGCGTGTGCGGGACTTCTAGCTCTAGCCTGGGCTTCATCAATTCACAGCTTCATTTGGGCGTCCTCTGTGCCTCTGTCGCACATGCTTCATCAACACATGACCGCCCAAACGAGTGGCTTAGAATGCCAGACAACAAGCAGCTTCTTTGGCTGACATACCCTCATGTGTGAATTAGTCCGCGTATAACCAGGTTTGGCAGGGCCGGCTTTGAGGTCCGCATGCCGCCGCCAGAGCCCCCGGGTTTTGGCTTTGGGTCACTTCTGAAGAGCTTTGGGCTTTGGGCCAGTTTGTGAAAGGAGGAACCTCGGCGTCATTGCAAATCAGGGCTTAACATTGATGTGACCGCTCATGGTGACATGGAATTCACAGAAGCGAATCAACTTTTTAGCGTTAGGTTTGATTCTTTTGTAAAGATTCTTTTGTAGGGGCACATCAAGACCTGTGCCAGCCAGGGCCATCTAGAAAAGAAGGGATGAAGGTATGTTTGCAAGCGAAGCTCGAGTGACCCCCCAGGACCCCACCCAGGATCATGATCATTTGTCGTAGCCTGACGAAAACTTTTTGCCAGTCAAGCAGTCTGAATCCAATGTTTGACACACACTCCTCAATACTCATCAAATAGCGAAAAGATAAGATTTGAGTTGTACCTTGTTTGTGTGGTTTTGCGCATGCCGTCAACCTCTTCTTTGGCTTTCCAGACGCAGGTGACTTTTGCTCATCGCCGGTTTGGGAAAGGCAAGGGCTGATCTGACTTCGGAGGCCAGTGCCAGGCATGCAGGTCCCCTACTACATTGAGCTATGGCATGATGTTTAGAGCCAGCCTTCCTCTTGTACTTCTTGCGTGTGGCTTTGTACACAGCCTAGACGGAGGACCCATTTGTGACGTGAAGAGCTGGAAAATGAAAGGCATTCTCTGAAAGTCTTCTTTAAGTACCCTCACCCCGACTTCCTGAGAGCCTTTTCATGAGCAGTCAGTGTCTGAATTTTAGGTAGAGACAACTCCGTACCGTCTTGAACTGGCAGTTGCCAAAGGGCCACCTGTCTCTAAGTGCTATTGACCGACCTGTGTTGTTGGCCGACTCTTGCTGTTGACCAACCCGTGCGTGCTGTGTCTATCATCTTGTCATTCGGTTGCGCGCAACACCAGGTGTTCACAACTGTTCAGCTTGCGACAGATTTGCACAGCTCAGTTGCCCAAATCTGGGTTTACTTGATGTTCCACGTGCGTAGTCTGCTCGTGAACAGCTCCACTTTGACATGTAATTAGCGCGTCGTCAACAGACTTTGCCATGCTGCCCTGGTTTGCGATGGTGACTGTCCCTGCTGCGCTCAACATGCCAAATTCGGCTTCCCGGTGTCTTGCTTCATGAGTGTTGTTTAGACCCTGCAACCTGCCACACAATCAACGAGTTTTGATATCAGCATGATGGTTTGCTTCAAATTCACGTGTCGTCATCACGGTAGCAATCCCGCACGGCCTGCCCTTTGCATCTTTTATCATGTTCATGCCCAGACGAGAATGCGCAGATGGTCAGAAGCTTCAAAAAACTGTCAATATGTCCATTTAGTTTGTTCCCAAGTTCTTTCTTTGGTTCCACACATTCCTGCTTGGCGAAGCTTGCTGTCTTCCCCCCTCCTAGCTCTCCCACCTTCATCTGTAGGTGGAGATTCGCGGACGATGTGATGAAATCATGTCAATGCGCGCTACAAGACTGAAGTGCCAGGCACTCACACACTCGCCTCAGAAATTCCGAAACAATCATGGTAGCCACAGGCTCAGGCAGGCCCGGGGAGCACCGTGCCGTCTTGACTCCGTGCTCCGCCTTCATGAGAGTCACTCCAGAGTGCACAGCCTAACTGACAGATCTGTGCAGGCCATGAGGCTCGTGCCTCTGTGTCTAAGGACAGAATAGAATCTGGGTTGACATGCATCTGCCAACTCAGCTCCACGTCGGCACCATCCTGCAGAATGCAGAACATCACCCCGTTAAGCTTCTACACCCGCAAATCCTCGAGTCTCTTTCGGAAGGACCGGGCACACCACCGATAGCCCTCCTGTTCTGCTGAACACGTCAAGCAAGCACGAACAATGCTGCAAATAAATGGCCTTGTCAATGGTGGACTCGTCGCAGTGTTCATGGATGCGATGCGGCTTTAGCTCCTGGCTGGAAGCTGAATGTCATAACCGCGGCAAGCCGCTTGGGCCATAACCTTCCCCCCCTGGAGTGGGGGAGGCGACGAGGCGGGGGGAGGTGGGTAATAGGAATACTTCCTATTTCCAGGTTTTCAAATTAAATAGACGGTCGGGGGACCCCCCCCGTCCGAATAGAGGCTGCATACAAATGTGATATTCCAGTATATAGTAGCAGCTGTTGTTTTTGTGGTAGAGTACGAAATGCCCCTCGAACGCAGGTCCCAGGTCATGTCGTGCCCCTGCAGCGGTGCGCTTGCAACACGGTCCCCCCGCATTTCTTCCTATTTGGTGTTGCGGCTGCTACTCTTCGTGATTACACAAGGATGCCCTCAGTCTACAAGAGCCCAGAGAGGTCCAAAGTGTCCATCCAGCGGCAGAATACGAAACGGCCCCTCGACCCAGGCCCTGCGCCATGTTGCGAGGGGGAGCGCTGCGTATGCACGGTGGACCACCTGCTTTTCTTCCTATTTTGGCTGCGCAGCTGAAATCAAGGATACCCTAGGTCTGTAGGGGTATGACATGTCGGGCGCGCGCGGCGCTGCTGATGCACCAAGCAACTTTCCATGTCGCCCAGAAACACAAATCCCTCACAGTGACTAAGCAAGACTGCTGAGATAGGAAGAAACTAAGCATGATGATAGATTTCTAAAACTGAACCCCCCCCCCCTCCGTTTAGACCAATAGGAAATAGGAAGAAAAGGACGTACCGTCCCCCGCTCGGAAACAAGAGCTACGGGGGGAAAGCCGTAACCTTGCCTCAAGGCCAGCAAACGGCACAAAGTTTGCGTCGCCCAGCACGAACAAACCTCAGCTCATCGCAGTTTCTGACACGTTGACTATTTTTTGGTTCAGGGCTTCACAGGAGGGACTGCATCCTTGCGTGTGTTTTTGGTCCATGGTTGGGGTGCTGAGTATTCTTCGTCTTGGAGCGCGGCTGAGAACAGATAGCCGTGCTATTAAGCTCGCCATGGGCGGCTTGTCCGCCTTGCCCGAAAGTATTTGACAAGTCAAGGATCAGTTGCCTCGTTTTGCCACGTGTACAACAAGTTTGCAGCCCGCTTGTCAAGACCAAGCCTTCAATGCAGTCCCTGGCAGTCCCTGCACACGGTGACTGCGGCGAATCGAGCTGAAACGGCTGCTCACGAGTCAAAGCCACAACATGACTTCAAACCATGACAAAGGACCGGAACCTTACATAGGCCCGATGCATCCTGTACTTGTACGTACGTATTTGTGACATGCAAGACGGGCAAGCAAGAAAAGAAAAGGCTGGTACCAAGTTGACAGCAGTCAGCGATGTGCAGCTCCGGAACCTGGGCTTCCCATAAAGCAAAGCATCACCACACGCATCACCATGCCCCGCGATCACTGGTGGGTACCAGCATCAACCAAGTGCTCAACATGGCCGCCACCACCTCCAAAGGTAAAAGCGCTCCACGGAAAGAGGGATCTGGAAGTTGCTGCCATGCGCCATGTTTAGCACCTTCACCCTTTCCCTCCACCCTGAAATATGTTCCACAGAAATGTCACGTCTGGTGGCGGCGTTCGAGAATTTTTGAGCTCTGGCCTTGCAAGATGTCTGGCCAGGCATGTGAGTTCGTCAGGTGTCTTCATTTGTAATGCGCTTACGTCTCTTCTTCTTTGTTGTCACGCCAGCTTGGCCTGCAATTGATTGCCAAATGCCGGGAGATGCCGTGAGCATCTACATTATGAGGTTGGTATGTTTGGATGCACAGCTCAGGCTCTGCACGGGCGCGCGAGAGCTTCCTCTTTGCGTGCTAAACCACAAACTTCAAGCGTTTCTCTTTGCTTTGTCGCGGTCCTTTGTGGTTTGGCCCGGGTGCATGCAAGGGGCTTGGCTGCAGCATTTTGGAAGATGCAACGACAATACAAAAATATTCGCTTCGAGCATCCTCACCCTAAAACCATTATTGCACAAGAAATGTATTTCCCTGCCCCCACCCCCAACTGTCTTCCTGGCAGCACTGCAAATGCAGTGCAAGAATATTGCAGTTTGCCATTGCAGTGGCAAATGCTGTGGGGTTCGGCATTACAAAGGCTGGGCACGACAAGGACGCTTTGCCATTGAGCACTGCAGGGATACTGTGGGTTTGGGCACTTCAGGGATGCTCTGCGGTTGGGCACTGCAGGGATACTCTGAGGTTGGGCATTGCAGGGATACTCTGCGGTTCTGCCGGGATACGTGTTTCTTGGGCACTGCCGGGATACACTGCAGTAGGGCACTGCAGGGATACTTTGCCATTGAGCTCTGCAGGGGTATTTGGTGGTTGGATGTGGCTGGGTACTGCAGGGATACTCATCGGTTGGGCACTGCAGGGATACTCTGCGGTTGGGCACTGCGGGGATGCTCTGCGGTTGGGCACTGCAGGGATACTCTGAGGTTGGGCATTGCAGGGATACTCTGCGGTTCTGCCGGGATACATGTTTCTTGGGCACTGCCGGGATAAACTGCGGTAGGGCACTGCAGGAATACGTTGCCATTTAGCACTGCAGGGATACTTGGTGGTCGGGCACTGCAGGGATACTCATCCGTTGGGCACTGAAGGGATCCTCTCTGCAGGGATACGTTGGGCATTGCAGGGATACTCTGCGGTTGGGCGCTGAAGGGATATGTTGTCATTGAGCACTGCAGTCAGGCTCTGCGCGGAGGGCGAGGACATCATAGACTTTTAAAATCTAACAACCCCACTGCGAGGGCAGAGAACAAAACTCAGTGTTGGTTTCTTTTTGGGGGAGCTCCGACTGCTCCAGGACATCATTTGGAATTCTTCGAAAATCCATCAGCGCTGTGGTTCTGTGGTTTGTTGGAAGCGCTCTGAGCGCGCAACACGCTCCAAATGCTGTGTTCTGCAGTGCAGCATTTGGATCTGATTGCAGGCTCCGGCAATACGAACAGTACTAACCTTACAAGAAATCATCACAACGACAGCAGTAACACGGTCAAATGTCATGTTTTGCAAGTAACCCTAATGCTTACAGTAATGGCTCAGTGTTGCCATCATATAAGAAAAATAAAAACTCTAGTACCACCCCAAGACAGGCAAGCAGAAGCATGGGAGGGAATCTTGCGGGAGACCAGGAGACCAGAGGTCCAGCAGGATGGATAAAAATGGAAAGTCCTCTTTTTTCGCCCCCGGCAGTTATGTTGAAAAACACATTGCTGGGCATGTATCCTATCAAAGGCTACCAAAAAGCTACGCGATCTGAACCTCATTTTTACCAGAAAACGGAGCGTTACGATTTCATACTAATACTAAACGCTAGCACTAAGATGAATACTAGTACGAGTATGTACGAATACTGATACTACTACTACTACTACTACTACTACTACTACTAGGCTAGCGCACCCCAGGGCGCCTGGGCCTTAAATGGGGTTGAAGCTTTTGTGCCATGGGGTTTTGCTTTGTTTGA